GTTGTTGTTGTTGTTGTTGTTGTTGTTGTTGTTGTTGTTGTTGTTGTTGTTGTTGTTGTTGTTGTTGTATTTGATGATGATGATGATGATGATGATGATGATGATGATGATGATGATGATGATGATGATGGTGGTGGTGGTGGTGGTGGTGGTGTTATTATTGTTATGTTGCTGCATTTGTTTATGTAGTTGTCGTTTTCTGAGTTTGGCGTGGTTACATGTATTTGGGTTATATAACAATATGAGGGTGGTTGGAGGGTGGTCTGGTGTAGTTTCCTCCTTCTTCCCTATCAAACATATATTATCGTCCTGGTCTCTCCTCCTTGTTTACATATGTTACTCTCTTGTAACACCTCTAATTTTCGTCATTTAAATGATCTTATTGTGTTACAAGTGCCGTAAAACTCTTACCAAAGCTAAAAGTAAGATATACCTGGATACCCGGAGGTGTCATCTCTTTAGATTTAGTTTTAGTAAGAGTTTTACGGCACTCGCAACACAATAAGTCAATAAGGTCAAATAAGTGCCGAAGATTAGAGGTATTACGAGAGAGTAACATACACAAAGAAAAAGGAGGGGAGATAAAGACGATAGATGATTGATAGAAAAAAAGAAACAAACCACACCAGAGCACCCGCCAACCCCCCCACAGATGTCATCTCTGATTCAGAGGCTGATGTCCTTCACGTTCACGAGTTACCGTGGCACATTCTGATATATCCAGACCAGTCAATGTTTGTATGTTGTCCATCCAGAATACTCGCTCTTTGTCCGCCCCTGGTTCTTCTCTCCCACATCATTCATTCAAGGAAACTCGAATGTACCAATATTTAGTGGGTTGTTGGCGGGTGCTCTGGTGTGGTTTGCTCCTTCTTCCCTATCAAACATATATCGTCGTTATCTCCCCTTCTTCTTTTTAATGTTTGTTACTCTCTTATCACACCTCTAATCCTCAGGCGCTCATATGACCTTATGCAGTTGCGAGCGCCTTAAAACTTCTACTAAAACTAAAAATATACCAGTATTTCTTTCTGTGTCCCTCTCTAGGTGTGGTACATGGGCATCGTCCTGTTTGGACCTGCGGTTGCTCTCCAGGCAGGTATGATCTCTCCTGTACCAGTGTGGGCCAAAGTTGCTCGTTTCTTAATTTAGTTATCTACGAGGGGCATACCAAACGTTTTTTACCTGACCATGAAGGAATAAAGGTAGAAAGCTGACATTTGGGGTGAAAGCCAACAATCATCTTCCTAGAATGTATGTCAATTTTTTGGGAAATTCCGATTACCGGTTTTACAGTCAAACATGTTGATGGGAGGTAAAGCCTTTCCCAACATTTACCTACCCTAGAATTGCAACGTTGTATCAGCTCAGTTTTGAGATATTTGACGTTAAACATTTTGATTTTCACAAAATGTCAAGCTTTTCTGAATGCGCTTCTTTCAATATTTTGATAACGGCTCCATGTAATCTGAAGAGTTTGATATAGTAGATAGAACATATAGTTTCTGACCTCATTTTCCCAGTAACTCAACTGTAATAAGAGTTAGGTTGTGAGTAGTTGGCGGTGCTCTGGTGTGGTTTGCTCCTTCTTTCCTGTCAAACTCTATCGTCCTTATCTCCCCTTCTTCTTCTTATGTTTTTTTTACTCTCTGGTAACACCTCTAAAATTATGTCGCTCATATGACCTTATGCAGTTGCGAGCGCCGTAAAACCTCTACTAAAACTAAAAAGAGTTAGTTTGACAGCATGATAAACTACGGTGCGTGTGTGTGCGCGCGCATAAATATATATTGCATAAGAAGAAAAGAAGTAGTACGAAAGGTTTTGAAAATGGGCATTCCAAAGTAAAGCGCATTTGAGCTACTTTTTTTGAAAAAGCACTTTATAAAGTTATAACATATATAT